GTACAAAGAATATTTAAATTAAATGTTTTAAATTAAAAATGTATTTTTATGTATTTTAGTATTAATGTATTACTATACAAAGAAAGGTATTTTACTTAAAAGAAAAAGGGTTTTACATTTTAATTGTATATTTTTATATTAATGTAATAATATACAAAGTAACAAGATTTAAGTTAGAGGAAAAATATTGTAATTAAAAATGTAATTTTAAAGAAAATCAATATTTGATGTAAATAAATAAAAAAAAGGGTTATATTAATTTATGTATATAAAAAAAGGAATATGATGATAAAGAAAATGGTTTGAAATAAGTTAGAAATGGGCTCAAAAGGGGGGGGGGGGTGTGAATTGGAATACAGTGGGCTTTAGGCGTGGTTGAAACGGGCAAGGCCCAAGGTTTGAAACGAATAGCTTAGGGTTCATTGTTTTTCTGTTCATTTGGGATATTTGGCTTAGGGTTTGTGAGCGACATAAGCGCCGCTTGTGGTCACTTCGTCTTCTCCGTCCATCTTTTCGCCATAGATTCAGGACTCTGAGCTTCTCGCCCTAGCCACCAGATGCTTCAGTCAGCTCCCTCTTCTCCAAGGTCGTGTAAGCAAAGGTCTACAAGGTACTGATTTTTATTTGGTATGTTTGACGCCTTCGCATGTTTTTATTTGCTCTTGATTCTTTTATGTTGTTCAATGTTCGCATGAGATGTGGAGAAGAAAGAAATAAAGGGTTATACCTTTTTTGGGAGAGGAGGTGAGGAGGACCGGAGCACCTAGGGCGGCCAAGGGCAGAGCGAGATAAGACGCGGTGTGAGCTAGTTCACTTCGTTGGATTTTGGTATCTCTGTACCTTTCTTTAAGCTTTATGATGTTGATAATATATCTGAAAGCCCCTTTTTTTCTTCTTTCTCTTGTCGCCTTGAATGTTTCTGTTTGGTTGCCTTGGTACGCTTTGTCTCTCGTATGCTTGAATATGCTGAGATTGATGCCTTACTTTGAGTTGCCTTCTGTACACTTGTGTGGCCTTGATGCTTCTTTGGTTTGTTAATGCTGCCTTGTTCTGAGTTGCCTCAGTATTTCTTTATCTCTTCCTTCCATTGCCTTGAATGCTTGCCTTTTTTACTGCCCAGTGATGATGTCTTTCTGAGGGCTCAGAGTTGAACCTGAATGCTTGAGTATGCTTGAATATGCTTCCTTATCTTCAACCGTCTTGTTGCCTTTGGAATGCTTGTTTCATTATCCTTTTGCCCAATGATGGTGCTTTTTGAGGGCTTGAGGGTTACAGGTTGGGTGAACTGGTTTTGGTTATGGCCTTGGGTATTTGTTTGGTTTATGGCCTTTTGAGGTTTCTACTGGTTTATGGCTTTAGGTTTGTGCTTAGGCAGGTATGATACTTGACAGAGGTTTGTAGGTTGATGGTTAAGGCAGGACATGTTCCACGCTTGTTTGTTTAAGGTGTTTGACAGGTTTTTTGCTTGGCTTGAGGCTTAACAGGTTTAATGCAGGTTAATGGCCTTTTGGCAACTGGTTTTTGTGTTTGAGTTTGAATGGTACAAGTACAGGTTTGTGAGGTTTCAGCAGGTGCAGGCTTGTGTGTTATCTGGTTGTTAAGGCTTTTCTGGTTTTGGTTATTTGACAGGCAGGGTGAGGCTTTTGGTTCTTATGCTTGTAAACAAACAGGTTCAAGGTTCTTTGGGACTTGGAGGCTTATCAGTTTTGTATATTTTTTTGTATTGGTTTTGCTCCCCTCCCTTTACTGTACTGTGTTCAGTTCTTTTATATTTCTTTCTTGCCTAAAGCCTCAAAGCCAACTTTCTTTGCTCTCTTTTTCTTCTCTCTCCAGTACAGTTTTGCATTAAGATATTATTTATGCTTTGTACTTTCTTTTTCTGAAAGGGCCACTTGGGAAATGATGAAAATGAGATAGTTGCTTGCATATCAATTTTCCTCTGCATATTTGTCCCTTCTTTTGACAGCTTCTTGTACTTTGTATCTTTTCAAATCTTCTTCTTTGATAGCTTGGGTAGCCTTGTGACAGTTTGACAGCAAGTTTGAATTTTTCAGTTTGGACTTTGTAGTTTGATTTGCACTTTGGAGTTTTGAGATTTGAACTTATGCAGTTTGGACAATTTTTGAATTGTGCAATTTTGACTTTTGTGCATTCATTTTTAGCAAATAAAAATTCGTCCCTCTTTGTGAACCGGGAGAAATCCCGTGATTTGCAGAGAGGGTTAACCGATCCTAACCAGTGGCCCTTAATGATGAATTTTATATCTGTCTCTTTTATCTATCTGCTATTAACTTTCCTTTTTTTCTTTTGCAGATGAATAATTGAATGGAGGGGAGCAAAGGATAGCAGATGAAGAAATGAAGATTAGAAAAAATATTTAGGATAGTTTTATTTAGGTTTAAATTACTTGTAAAATCACTGTTGTAAATAAATTATAAACAATAATTGTGCGAATAATTTAAAAATAAATAAAAGTTTTTATTATCCAATTAATTCTATTTCCTCCTTTTTTCAAATATTTACTTATTATTTATAGTTCTTTAAATTAAAATAACTGAAAATTAAATTCCAGCTATTTAATCCTTAGAATAATAAATAATCAACTAAACATTGATTCAACGTTGATCAAAATAATGAACTTGGCGCTTCCATCATCCAAAGCAAAGCACAGTCAAACGCAATAACTGATCAAACGCATTCCCCTTTTTACTGATTTCTTACCAAACACTGTAAATCCAAACTGAATGTATCTTTTGACTGGTTCAATCAAACAAACGTGAATTCAACCAAATGCCTTCTTTTACTGATTAAATCAAACAATGCGAATTCAACCTAAATCTCGGAATAACTTGCAAAGTGCTGTAGAATTTAAATCCTTCTGAGAACGTGCCCACAAAACCCTAATTCCTGATTAAATTCCAAAGAACGTTCGCCTGGTCGAAACTGAGCCAAAGTCAACTAAAACCCTAAGCCAACTGTTTGAAACATTCCAGAGCCCTGAAAATCAATAAAACCCTAATTGCGTCTGACTGACGAGAAAAGTCCGTTTGACCGATTCTTGAGCTAGTTTGAAAGATCAGGAAAAGCCTGAAGCTGTGATTTCTTGAGGAAAAATGCGAGGGCAAATTTTGGGGTACAAAAATTACGATTCCATGGAAACTATAAAAGATAATACTTTGAGCGCTTGAGAAAATTGATATTTGAATTCAAGAGATTTTGTGCTCCTAATTTCATCACACTACCGAACTGTCAGCAAAGTTCAATTTGAAAGAAAAGAAAGAAATAGGTAAAGCTTCTCCATTAGTGTCCAAGTTCCATACAAGAGTTATTCAAGAAGAAGTACACAATTTAAAAGAATCTTTTATATGGGAAGGATTACAAATTTCATAATACAAATACAATTCTAAACCTATGTCGTTCATCTTTAATCTTCATGTTATTTCATCCTCAATCCTTGCTCACTTCTCAAACTTCTAGCAATGCATATGCCCGGGACATTCTTTCCTCATTCCCTTCGCCCATACCGTAAAATCAGACCCGACTTTTATTCAAGCAAATGGGCAGCCTTGCATTTTTTTCCTCAAGAAACCAGATCACCATATCAGTTCAGAATAAACCAGAATGTAGAGGAGATAACAAAAATGGTGGGAAATCAAGAAAATAAAATTGGTTCAGTTTAAAACCAGAAAATTCATGACAGAAAGTTGTTAACCACTGTTACACAAGTTGCAGACATGTTTAAAGCATATAGAGAAAATCAGGATTGATAAACTATCCTATCATCCAAAACAGTTTGCACAACCCTGTTTACGTCAAACTCGTCACCTTCTTCATGTTGTTCCAAGGCCAAACCTGTACCATAGCATAAACCCAAATTAAGACATCTATGAATATGCTATGGTTCAAAACAGAACAAAAACCAATCAATAACATTCACCAACATGTTAGAGACGCAAAGAAGTTGTCAAATTTCATTCATCAGGATATCAGTTCAAGATAGAGAGAAAAGAATTGAAGTTGGAGAATAAATTAAAAAAGAGAAGGTACGCAAAATAGAAGGGAAGACCGCGAAAGCAGGTCCATGAAAATCAAAACAGAATAACCAGAACTAACTGTTATAACCAGATTCATAACTGATGCAACAAACTTCAACAGAATTTAAGCTAACAAATTCCCTAACTAACTAACTACTAAGTAACTTCCTATAACCGTAACCAACTGTCAAACAACCACAAAAAACTTCTAACAAACTTTTTTTCCCTAACCAATTTTCCCAACAAACTCCAATAGAAATAATAGAATTCAGTAACCAAACCCAAAAACCATTCCTCCCATCCCTCAAACCTCTAACCAATTGATAACCAACTCCTAACAGATTCATAACTAATCCTAACCTCTATAACAAAAACCAACAACAAACAACTAACAACCCTGTCAAAACCTAACCAATTCTATAACAAACTCAAAAACTTCCTAACAGATGGATAATATCTAACCAACTTTCTAACAGGTATAACAGAAAATGAGGAGAAAAATTCTAACAAAAAAGAAAAATTCAGAGATACCTATGATGGCTTGATTCTTTAATTGGCTGAGAGAACCCGCAACAAAGACTGAAAACCTCTCTCTAAATCTTGGCTTACATTCTTCAATCTTCATTGTTATGCACTATCTCTACACTCTCTTCAACCGATTCTTCATCTTCAATCTTCTCTGCACTCTCTCTCCCTGCTTCATTGCCATAACCTTCAACCTTTTTTGAAACTCCATTCAATTTTCTCTCTGCAGAAAACTTCACTCCATTCTTCATCTTCATACATCATCAACCTTCAATCTTAAATCTTCAGTAGTTTTGCGATTCAACATTCTTCAATCAACTCCATAGATAACCGCACATTCTGCTTTATTCTGCAATCGCAACAACATCAAAATCGAAGAGTAGAAGGTAGAAAAGAAAAGGCACACAGAAATTAGAAAACAAAAATAGAAGAAGAAGGAAAATGCACATACCTGAGCCTTCATCTCGGCATTTCTCGTCAACACAACACCGTCAAAGAGGCGCCAGACACTTCCCGGGTTGGTAAATCTCCTTCACTCATTACTACAATTGTTGTTTGTTAGATTGGATTGGTAGGTTTAGGAAGGCGAATCGGAAATCCAAAAGCAAGGTCGAACGAATCTGAGACGATGATAAGAATCACAGAAGCGGAGATGACGATGGATGAGCGGCAGGGTGTGGTGATTGAAGGACGTTGTCGCGATGAAGACGGAGGTCTCCGGAATTGAAATGTTGAGGCGAAGAAGAAGACGGCGGAAGGGATGTGTGCGCCGCGAGAGAGGAAGGGCGAAGTAGCTCATGGGTCAATACATTTAACCCTAATCCCTTTTTACTTATTGTTATTAGTTTCAATTTTTTTTACTTATTATTCTAATATCATAACAATAAAAATAAAAAAAGGGCTGAATCAAGTTCATGGATATAAGGATGGACCAAAAAATCCTAATCTTCAGGCCCATCATCAAATTTTTGGTAGATCTTAGATCATGCACAAAAAAAATGCTAATTGGACCTCGCTTCTACAATGGGCCTAACATCAGCTTGCTATACAACACCCCTAGATCTGATCCTTACACCACCTTATTCTTTGTGATTTTTTACTTTAATTCCTTAATTTTTGTAATTAATTATTGATGATTCATTCATGATTTCTTTCTGAAATTTGGTGTGGATATTAATACGGTGATTCCCGACTTGTTGATATTTTTAATATTTTTTTATTAGCGTATGAATTAATTAAATTAGTGTTTAGTATATGGTTAGAATTAAGATTTTTATACGTCCTTGTCGATTTTGTATCCTTGATTCAATTTCATTGGCATGAGGAGTGGTTTAGAGGCAAGTTCTGATCCTTGAATAATGCCACGTTATTTTTTGACGCGTTTGTTCATTGTACGAGGAACTTCTGATTATGCTTCGCATTCGCAATACGTGTTTGCCTTTATCTTAGTTGAATATTGTTTCTGACTCTGTTTGTTTCTTGGTGAAGCTTGCTCGACGCGCACTCCTTGCTTTTTCAGTTCTTTCATTCGCTCTTGACGATTTGCTCACTTTGGTAGCCTCCGCTACTACTCTTACACTTCTCTTCATTTTATTGCATTTCGTTATCACTTTATATAAATCATGAGAAACAGGGCGTTATCATAAACCATATGCATGCCAACATTAGGTAGAATTCCCTCATTCATTCTTGACTTAGGTCTAACAACACACGATAACATCATGTTTAGAAATAGGCTAATCCCCCTTTAACTTTTTTCGCATACGCATCTAAAACAAAAACTTCTTTTTCTTTTCAAAATTCAAAGCATTTTAAAACTACTGATGAGAATCACGCTTTTGCTTAGTACGGGAAATGATAAGCGGGTCTCTTCTCGACCTTATCGTTCTCCATCTCAAGTCTAGGTGAGGTTCAATTCTCAAAGACTCCTTTCATGACTAAGTGGAAAAATGGCTAATATCTCTCTCTTGAGGTCGACTGGTCATTATCTGCAACGAAAATACAAATCAACTCAAATCTTTTGTGCGCTCGAGCACCTCTTTCTAAGAAACCCTTTTCAGGTAAGGACACGATTAATTTACTTATGTGCCAATGCATAAGTCTCCAAAGGTCGAGCTGCGGCAGAAGGCGGAATTGACTTCGTCCACAAAAAACACAAACAAACAAAAACATATGAGCCGAACTACGGTAGCTCTGATTCCTCAAAACGAATACTTAGGCATTGGGGTAGGGCCCAAGCGAGCACAATTTTATTTTCCCTACATTCTTTTTCCCCTTTCTTTTGCATGCATTCTCCCTTTAGTAGTATAGTAAACAGTAAGCATAGATTAAACACACCCATAAGATAGATAACAAGAGTGGATACCGTAGAGTACTACGGGCGTGTGGGGTGCTAATACCTTCCCCTCGCGTAACAGACTCCCTTACCCGATCTCTCGGTCGCAAGACCGTGACTTATCCCTTATCAAGTTTTCTCGATGTTTACCTTTCCCTACATGTGGGATAAAAGACGTTCGATGGCGACTTCATTGTTTGATGATTTTCAGCTGGTTGTTTCACCAGGGTTTTAGCTACGGAGAGTGTCCGTTGGTATAGGTCTGTTGTCTAAATCAACAGATCCTTGGAGAAGATGAAGACGTGGCAGACAACCATTCGCGTGTTTGAATTTCGCGCATTTCTGACTCAGTGTTTTTGCTTTTCATATATTATCATTGTTATTTATTTTATGTACAAACAAAAGCAAGTGGCGCAGTGGTTGTAAAGTGCTTCAGGACCTGGGTTCGAGTCCCAGGTCCCCCAATTTGCTTCATGATTTTTTCTTTCAGGCAATCTCATGCGTACACAAGCCAAAGGTCCACCATATAACCTCAACATCCAGCCTGCCAGATGGCCAGATCTAAGGGCCATCAATGAAGGAGCACCAAACGCCCAGTCAAACACATGGCATGCGATCTCAGAGGTCAACGTGGACCTCATTCTTCTTGGGCCAGATTGCTGTCCACACACCCCAAATCTCCAAATCAGGCCCAAGTTTCTATTCCTTTTTATATTTTTATTTAATTTAATTTATTTATTTTACTAACAAATTAATTATTTTCTTTTTTTATCAAAAAATCACAAATATTTTTTTCATCCAATTAAATTTAGGATATTTATTTATTTTTATACAAAAAAATTAATTAATTAAATTAGGTTGTTAATTTTAGATAACTTTAAATCCTTTTTGTATATAATTAAAATTAATTAGAATAAATAGGTTTTTTATTTCTAATTTAATTATATTTTCTTTTCTTAAAATAATCAAAACAAAAAAATAGGCCATGTAATTATTTTCATTAATTAATTTAATTAGCTAATTGATTTGTATATTTAATTTTAAAACCTAATTCTTTTATTAAAAATAATTAAAAATAACAAAAAACAATTTTCCTTTTAATTAGGTTAGAAGGGTCAAAACCCTAGTTCTCTCCCAATCTAATTTTCCTCGCGCGCGCTTTATTACTTTATTTTATCCTATTATTGTAACTGCTCACAAGTTGTAATAGTTAATTAGGACTTTTATTTTCATTTATCGCTTTATTATTTAAGGGTTTGTTTTTGGCTATGTAAATACCCGAAGCCTTGTAATAGCATAGTTTAACTTCCACACTTTTAATTCCGCAAAATATTAAATTGTTAGATGTATGATATTAGGATGCATGACAAGAATGTATGATTAACTTTAAAACGGTTAGATAACCCTAAAATGTGCAAACATAAATAATATGAAATTGAATCACTCGCACATGCGCACTCCTAGGGTACACTCCCACTTGGTTGCCTTCGGTAAACGGTCATTGAGTATAGGATGCTTTAGTGGTCATCCTTTTGTCCAAAGATCAAAGTTGCCTCGGAAAGGTTGCCTCAGATATTGTTGCTTCGAATAATTGATCTAAGACATTAGAGTTATTACTAAGACGTCCTAACATTGCTTTAGTGACCGTACGTCCCTTTTGAATTGACCCTCAAAACTCCAACGACGGTGCTACCTACTCACTAATAGTGGGAAAGAACTATCTAAAGGAAATGAACATATAACGGTTCTTTTTTCGAGTAGGTAGATTAGTTCTTAAGTACTTGCTCAATCCAAACAAACTTTTTCACACTAACACTCCTTTTCAAACAAAGTTTTCAAAAACACTTTGTAACACTCTTGAAGACAGAAGCAAGAGTTAAATCGAAGTCAAAACAAAAACTTTTCAAATCATACAAACACAAAGAAGCAATTTTGAAAATGATGAGCAAGTACCTAAGAGCCCGTAGATAACTACGGATAGAAAGGGTGCTAATACCTCCCCTTTCTATAATCTACCCCCCATACTCAGAAATATCTCGAAAAAGGAATTCTTCTATGCTTTTTTCCTTTCCCTGTTGGATAAAATAAAATTAGGTGGCGACTCTTGCTTACCGCGACATTTTGCAAACACAAACGCAAAATGCGAACCAGCATTACTAAAAAGCAGTCTCGGTTCTGGTCACCGTATCACAGAACTGGCGACTCTGCTGGGGACTAAATAAGTGGGGTGTATCTTAGGATTAGTTCACCATATTGTTTTCTATTGTTTGATTTGATTGCTTTATCTTTGTGGGCTTTGTATCGGAGTTACTATAGATCCTAACCCGAATCTGGGGACACCTTTTAGGTAAGTAGCAATAGATTGAGGGAACTGTACGACATAGACTGATACGGTTAAAGCAGTAGTTACGTTGATGTGGCATATTAGTTGGTACCGATATCCCTTGTGGAGGAACAAGGAGAGTATGGGGCTGCTATATGGGTCATTAAGCATCAACTGACCTTAGAACCTATAATTGACCAACTTGGCCATAGGAAGTAGCAAGATGCTACACTCATTGAGACCATACTCTCGAGATGGTTCCGGCTGCAAGAAAAGGTTGCGTGAGCTGAAACTATGATCGATAGAGGATGGTCAGTGATATTAAGAACCTCTAGAACCCGGTTACTATTATTAGGACATGTTGAACCAACTAAACTGTAAGAGGGTAGTACCTAGTCTCCATACAAGCCTAAACTCAAGGGCTATTGTGTGACTTGTTTGCCCTTACCATGTTTGCTATTTGTGATACCTGTGGTGTGTTTTTATCATGACATCATGCATCATGGAATCACATGCATATTTCATTAGACTAACCATTTCAAAGACCGAGGGGATTCATCTTTGTTCTGTTTTGCAGATCATGGCTACTATGCGCAGAAATACCATTCGAGTCAACTTTATGCAAATCCCTGCTCAGCTCAGAGAGTTAGTCTCAAAGGTTCCTGATACTTCTTCATTTGTTAGAAGACATGGTTATCTCCTTAGCCTGGTCACTTCAAAGTTGGATGAGAAAATGATGAGCGTGTTGTTCTAGTTCTTTGATCTATTGCATCACTGTTTCACCTTCCCGGACTATCAGTTAGTCCCTACTTTGGAGGAATTTTCTGATTTACTGGGTATATCTGTTCTAGAGCAGACACCCTTTACAGGTTTGGAGATAGCTCTTAGGCCAGAGGATATTGCTTCAGCCCTACATCTAAAAATGGATGATGTAGTATCTAACTGGGAGACTCAGAGTGGGGTTAAAGGTTTCTTGGCTAAGTTTTTGATCGATCAAGCTCAACAGTTCTGGGATAGTTTGGACTTTCAAGCATTTGAAGACATCCTGGCTCTCCTCATCTACGGCTTG